TTATGTAAACAAAAACTTTTATTTTGGATGTGATTAATCGCGATTTACTGTTTGACAGCACTAAATATAAATATTACGATGAAATAAACTACCACAAAGACAAAAGTTCAAACCTCACTCACCATGTTGCTAGCCTGATAGCATGAAAGAGAAAAAAAATTACAAATTTGAACCTTATGGATTACACAGGCATGTGGCAGCCAATGTAAGTCCACACCAAGTGCGGACAGGGCCAGAAAGGTTAAGTGTCAGCTTAGTACTCTAATATGTCAGCTAGTATGTGGAGTGGAGGCGGAATGTGTTTCATTAGGTTGGATTAATAACATGGGTTAATTTTACTGGTGCAGAATGCTTTGAGTGGGATGGGGAACGCATCAGTAGTATGTGTGTGTACCTGTACTGGCTCCTGCTGTTTGAAAACTGGGGTGAGGTCTGGGAGAACGAGGCGGACGTATTCCTCCTTTGTGCACTCCTCAGCGATGAGCAGCACATTCGGAAGAATGAACGGAACCATGTCAGGATTCACAAACTCAGACGTGAGCGCCGGGAGGATTCTGTATACTATCACTCTCTGAGGAGAGAAAACAACAGGCAATAAACTTAATGCCATAAAATACATGAACAAAAACATCACAGAACTTTGGACTCACTGACATTTGAATTTATTTCAGGCATACACCTCAAATATTGACATTTTTTAAAGGTCCAATTATCACTATTTAACAAACCATAAACTACGACATTTGCCTCAATAAACTCCTCATTTGCTGCTTATTATTAGTTAGTAAGGTAGATGTTAAGTTTAGGTATTAGGTAGGATTAGGGAAGTAGAATATGCTCATGCAGAATATGTGCTTTATAAGTACTAATAAACAGCCAATATGTTAATAATATGCATGCTAATAAGCAACTAGTTAATAATGAGAATTGGTCCCTAAAGTGTTAGCAGATATTTTATTATATAAATATTCAAATATATATAAAATACTTTTCACAATCCAATCATAATATTGCTAGTTTCACTATTTAAATGCACTGCAAATTTTAAAAAAGTGTTCCTTTTCAATTCCATTTTCGAGCTGAATTTCTTCAAATATTGCAAATGTTTGTTCTTGCCTTGGGCAACTTGGGCAGAACTTTGGGGAGACTTTTGTAGAACTGAGACTTCTGTAAGTTGTCCCGTTGGAAAAGCGAGTCAAAGTACTGAAGGGTCATCGCTCCAACATCATCGAAGAAGGGAATCTGTGCGCACACACATACACTGAAAAGTCAGAATTTCACTCTCACAGTCTTAAACCATAATGATAACATCATGTATGGTAATTCTCTTTCAGGACAGATACTTCAAAGAAAGATGTTTTTAAAAAAAAAAGTAGAAGAAAATCGGCAAAGACAGTATGATCTGACCTTTGTCATCTGATCTGCATCTGGACGCACGTTTGAGGTGAGGCTGAGCAACATCTTCACATGTTCCCTGACCTCCTCTGGGATCTGACTCAATAATCCTGGACTCAGATGGCTCAGCTACACATTAGAATGAGGAACAGAATGAGATTCACATATTTAAGGGTTATCGCAATACTATAATTATGTTTTAGGGTACGATAACTAGCAAGAGTTGAATATTGTGGCAGTATACCCAAATATATTATTGATATTTTAATCATTATATTGGTATTTACCAATTAATTGTTGATAAATTCGTTTTTATTTAATTAATACTATGAATTTTTAACACTATATAATATTTGTAATACACTATATATAAAATGGTGTGGCATTTATTCAGCAATTCTTCTCCTCGAGTTACCGTCTTCTGTCATTTTGGAGAGTACCTCAGAACGTAATCAGCATTGTTTATGTTCAGTAGCGCGCGCATGTTGAACGAAAACAACGCGGATTACATTGATTAAGTTCTGGAGTACTCTCCAAAATTGCGGAAGATGGTAACTCGGGGAAAAGAATTGCTGAATAAATTATGTTATTGTTTTCTTTGTGCGCAAAAAGCATTCTCTTAGCTAGGCCTGGGCGATAAAACGGTATCGATATTTATCGACGGTACACCCTCTTCGATAACGATAGAAAAAAAATGTTCGATATAGCGCACCATATCGGCACGTGCTATGAGTGACGCAGACAGCACACACAAATACGAACACGTGCTGAAATGAGTGCTGTGCCTGTCTGTGATGAGGAGATTGTGAATAATAATAAAAAAAAGATTATTAGTCGAATTTAAAATATTTTTTATAACATTTGCGTTTGAATGTTAGGTGTGCGTCAGGGAACGTCATTAGTGGAGTGCGAGATGCGGTGATGACGATGCAAGTGACGTTGTTGCATTTGAATGTTTTATAAGTCTAGCCCACAAGACGCGCAGTTGCTGCGTTATTCATTCAAAATATTAGAGAAATATAGTAGCTCAATGCGCCTGACCTCCTCTGGGATCTGACTCAATAATCCTGGACTCAGATGGCTCAGCTACACATTAGAATGAGGAACAGAATGAGATTCACATATTTAAGGGTTATCGCAATACTAGAATTATGTTTTAGGGTACGATAACTAGCAAGAGTTGAATATTGTGGCAGTATACCCAAATATATTATTGATATTTTAATTATTATATTGGTATTTACCAATTAATTGTTGATAAATTCGTTTTTATTTAATTAATACTATGAATTTTTAACACTATATAATATTTGTAATACACTATATATAAAATGGTGTGGCATTTATTCAGCAATTCTTCTCCTCGAGTTACCGTCTTCTGTCATTTTGGAGAGTACCTCAGAACGTAATCAGCATTGTTTATGTTCAGTAGCGCGCGCATGTTGAACGAAAACAACGCGGATTACATTGATTATCACATATTTAAGGGTTATCGCAATACTATAATTATGTTTTAGGGTACGATAACTAGCAAGAGTTGAATATTGTGGCAGTATACCCAAATATATTATTGATATTTTAATCATTATATTGGTATTTACCAATTAATTGTTGATAAATTCGTTTTTATTTAATTAATACTATGAATTTTTAACACTATATAATATTTGTAATACACTATATATAAAATGGTGTGGCATTTATTCAGCAATTCTTCTCCTCGAGTTACCGTCTTCTGTCATTTTGGAGAGTACCTCAGAACGTAATCAGCATTGTTTATGTTCAGTAGCGCGCGCATGTTGAACGAAAACAACGCGGATTACATTGATTAAGTTCTGGAGTACTCTCCAAAATTGCGGAAGATGGTAACTCGGGGAAAAGAATTGCTGAATAAATTATGTTATTGTTTTCTTTGTGCGCAAAAAGCATTCTCTTAGCTAGGCCTGGGCGATAAAACGGTATCGATATTTATCGACGGTACACCCTCTTCGATAACGATAGAAAAAAAATGTTCGATATAGCGCACCATATCGGCACGTGCTATGAGTGACGCAGACAGCACACACAAACACGAACACGTGCTGAAATGAGTGCTGTGCCTGTCTGTGATGAGGAGATTGTGAATAATAAAAAAAAAAAAGATTATTAGTCGAATTTAAAATATTTTTTATAACATTTGCGTTTGAATGTTAGGTGTGCGTCAGGGAACGTCATTAGTGGAGTGCGAGATGCGGTGATGACGATGCGAGTGACGTTGTTGCATTTGAATGTTTTATAAGTCTAGCCCACAAGACGCGCAGTTGCTGCGTCATTCATTCAAAATATTAGAGAAATATAGTAGCTCAATGCGGAGAAGATCTTGATTAGGTTAAAACCGAAACTAAGCCATTCACACAGAACGCATATTCAGCGCATTTTTTAGACGGACAAATATGACTGCTGTACTCTCGTCTCACAGAAGAGATGTATAGAAAGCCATGCGAAGTTAAAACGGTTTAAACTTTTAGAAAACGCATCACGAATTTGTGGAGGTTTATTCCATTTCACTAAAAACTGCCTGTTTTTAAAGGCAATCTGCGTGATGGGCGATTTGGCTCTTTGTATTAAGCAATGCAGCGCATATTCAGCGCATTTTTTAGACGGACAAATATGACTGCTGTACTCTCGTCTCACAGAAGAGATGTATAGAAAGCCATGCAAAGTTAAAACGGTTTAAACTTTTAGAAAACGCATCACGAATTTGTGGAGGTTTATTCCATTTCACTAAAAACTGCCTGTTTTTAAAGGCAATCTGCGTGATGGGCGATTTGGCTCTTTGTATTAAGCAATGCATAAATACATTATGCTGTTTTGTTCATAATTGTTTATGCAATTTACGAAATTATGTTTGATTTATATGAGTTAATTTAGAGGTAATGCACGTTTTTCTTGAATGCGCTGCATTATTTAGCTCATTGCGCCCTCCTGTGGCTTTGGGAGACAAGCCAAAATTTCCTTCAGACCTATTTAATCTGCATATAAAACATTAGAAATGAGATATTTGTTTAATTTTAATTTTGTGTTTGACTGCTAAAAGAAAAAATATTTGTTGTTTGTCTAAAATTGGGTTAATTTAAAAATACAGTGGTTAAATTTAAAAGTTTTTTTCTATTGCTCTTTGTTTTAAAAAAAGGTTATAAAAAATGTCAATAATTATCGATACCGAACGATATGAAACATTATATC